ACACCTGAAATTTTTACAATGTTATAAACCAACGTTACCGCAATAAACAAAAAATTAAAAAAAAAAAAATTGGTTATCCTAATATGATAAAATACGAGAGACAAAGTGCTAATGACCAATGGCGCTTAAGGATTATCTCTTTACCTATATCACTGATATTTGTTTACGTGTGTGTGTGTGTATTTAGTTTATTCATTCATTCATTCATTCATTCATATATTTAACTACATCTATGAGCACATTATATGCCATGTACTGTGCTAGCAGTTTTACACATGTTATCTCATTTTGGGGGTCTTCAATGCCTTCTTTACCTTTGGCCCTAAGGCTACATGTGATCATTCCTTACTTCATGGATACCTTCTCAAGAACACAGGAAAAAACTCCCCATATGAATTGCCTGGATACTATGATTAAAATATTTAATATATTAAAACAGAGATATGTACTTTGTATTCTAATAATAAACCAAAAATATAAAAAATATTTGGATAGTCCTTGGTAGATGACCCTGGTGAACTATAACTCATATTCCTGGTCAGATTGTTGGATTCTTTCTTTAGGACGGGAGTGAATAATGTTGGATTTTCATGTAAACTGACAAGGCCATCAGGAAAGATATTTTTGGTCAAAGAGCACTTTATTGACTTCGAATTAGAACATGTAGCTAGATTTCTGCTCCGGCATTGAGGAAGGTCGGTTCTGGTTAAGTATGTGCTGATGTCAAGCTGAATCACAGCCATGCCCAAATATAGATCATCTTTCTGAAAACTGTGGCCTTTTTCCCATGGCTGCAGTGTGTACAACATAGGAGTCAGACTTATCTGGAGAAGCAGCCTTTTCTTAGAGAGAGTAGGTCCAGTGAAAAACATTGGCTTTTAAAATAAGGAAGAAAGTAGGAGTGTGCAAATTAAATAAAGATAAGTTGTTAAAGGTTAACTAGTTTCTCCTGGTGGTGTTATAAGCAAATGGCACAGTCATTCTCCGGTTGTACAATATTTAGATATTTTATTTCAGTCACATAGTGGGAGCTGAGAACAAATGTGGGTAAACCAGATACAAAATACCTTCACAGAACATAAACTAAAACCTATTCCCTTGATCCTTCAGCGTTGAATCATATGTTATGCTTGGACCATAAATGTGAAGAATGCCAAAGAAGCTCTGGGATTGCTGTGGTTTGGAACACACAAGGAAAAGCATACTCATCCTGAAAATATGTTATCATCATTGCTATTGTATTAGTATTCTATTGCTGCATAAGAAATTGCTGGAGACTTAGGGCTTAAAACACCTACTTATTATTTCCTAGTTTCTGTTAATCAGAAGTCTGGACACAGTGAAACTGGGTTCTCTGCTCAGGGTCTCACTAGACTCAAATCAGCGTTTGGGCCAGGCTGTATTCTCATCTGGAGCTCAGAGTCCTTTTCCAAGTGTCTTCAGGCTGTTGGAAGAATTTAGTTCCTCGCAGTTGTAAAACTCGGGTCCCTGTTTTCTTGCTGGCTGCTTTTAGCTCTTAGCTCTTAGAGGCCACTCTCAGGTCCCAGCCACATGGCCCTCTTACAACAAGTAGTTTATTTCTTCAAAGCCAGCACTAGAATCTCTTTCCAGTCTGCTACTATGGGAAGGAATCTTGTTTAATGCAATGTAATCATATGAATGACTATACCATCATCTTTGCTACATAACATAGCCTAAACAAGTGAGTGACTACCCCATGGGATTGACAGGTCCCACCCACACTTAAGGGGAGGAGACTGTACAGTGCATGAGAGAGCAGAATCTTGAGACCATCTTAGAATTCTGCCTACAACAAATACTCAGAACAAGGGCTGAACTCTGTGAACTATATGACTGAGAAGAGAGCAAAATGTTACTTACCACGAGAACCTAAAAGCTAAATGTAAACAGTCTCCAGACCAACAATAGTGTTTTCTAAGAAAAAAACAAAAAAATCTATAAATGTCTACCAAAATTTCCAGAGGAAGACACTCAGGTCTCAATCTCAATGTACCCTTTGAACTATGCCTAGTAGAGATGCAAATTCCTATAGAGACCAATAACAATGCTGGCAAAGATTTATGGGTGACTATCTAAAAGATACCTGTACCTTATTTTTAGCAACCCCAAATCCTAACTTCCCATGAAGCTACTCCATTTTACCACTACACTCCTTCTTAGTTATTATATTCAATAGCTAGCTACCAGCCAGTGTGGCCACATTGCATTCTCTAGAGATAGAGTAAAAAAATCAATATTCAAATTGTAACATTGACTTTTTCTGGAGTAGGAATAAAATAACCTGATGACCATATTTTAAAGTAACGCCCTGTATAATCACCTCCCTTGAATGTAGGTGGACCTGTGAATATGATGGGATAGTTTCTCCTTGGATTAGGTCACATTATATATGGCAAAGTGACGGTATACTCACTCCCATGATTGCATTATGTCATATAAGACTCCATCTGAGCCGACTGTGGAGACTCTCTAGCTAGCCTTCAAGAAGTGAGCTGTTATGTTATGAGAGGGTCACATGGCTAGACTTTGAGGTGACTTCTTGTTGCTGAGAGTACACTCAAGCTGACATCTAGCAAGAAAACGGGGACCTCAGGCATAAAGTTGCAAGGAACTGAATTTTGCCAGTGACCTGAATGAGCTCGGAAGATCCTGAGCCTCAGATGAGATCACATCCCAGGTAACACCTGATTTTGGCCTGGCGAGACCCTGAGCAGAGGACCAGGCTAAGTCCTGACTGGAAAGCTAACCAATGAAAACTGTGTGATAATAAATTTGTGTTGCTTTAAGCTGTTAACTTTGTAGTAAATCTTTATGCAGCATAGAAAACTAATATATAAACAAATTTATAAATAAATAAAATAAACAAGCAAAATTAGTTTTAGGAACTTTCTGCAACAATAGTTGCCAATAACTGAATTCCGATTGGTCTTACCCAGTAACCACAATATTTTCAGCCTTTTAAAATTTATTGAAAACTAAAATATCCCTAAAATGAACACACTTTTTTTGTGGTACTCCAGAGTATTATAGATGACAAACCAAAGCAAAAACTTCTTAAGCGATGAAAGAATGCCAAACCAGATTTAACCATGAACTCCAATGAGGTTACAAGAAAATCTGAATAATTATGTAGATATTATGTGTATTCAGATATATGCACAGAAGCAAAGGGCACTTACTCTGAAAGTTGTTCACTGAGAAGACTCGAGGATGATAGAATCCTGCTTTGCAAATGCACTGATAGGCGCCAAGCACGAATCCTAAGCCTTTAATTGGCATACACTATGAAAAAAGAAAAGACAGCAGTATGGTTGATCAGAGTTTATTTCACAGTATAAAGACCCGCAGCTATCCATCATTGCACATGGTAACAGAACGATCACATTTTCCAGAAATAAAATATCCCTTTTTTGAACTTTTATTTTAGGTTTGTTTGCCAACAGACATTTTTTTAGAAGTAGCAAATTGAGTTTCCTTTCTAAATACATGCCCTTACAGCTGCAGTTGCCACATATCTTTAACTCATTCAGTGGCACAGGGAGTAGTTACTAGACATAGTTTTTGCTTTTAATGCCTCAGATATCATCTTATTGCTTTAAGAGATATTTCCAAAGCCTATAAGAATATTTAAAAGTGTTTCTATGCTAAATATTTCTATCAAAGCAAAGGTAGATAGGTAGGTAGACAGAGAGATACATAGAATTTGAGATGTGAAAATTACTTTTATGAGTTAAATATTCAAAAAATTTCATCCTTTAAACAAAATAACACAAATTGACGGAATAAGAAAACAAGTCAACTTTAAAATGCAAATTTAGAAGAGAAATAAAAAGACAAATAATGATCCCAAGGGCTTTTTACCTAAAATCTGTTTCATAGATAAATGTTCCACATGTACATAAAAAGAAGAAAAACAATGATCAGCTTTCCAAATATGTCATACCAATAGACATAATAGACATCTCCCAAAAGCTTAACCTTGGCTTCTGTCAAGGATATCACTTAACTCTAGCAAAATTCAGCTTAACATACTCCATTTCTGCTACATTCAATTATATAAGCATGGAATAACTTCTATAAACATACAAACAGTACATCAGTAGAACAAGGGTGCTTCAAGAATTTAATCAACACAGAAATTTCTATTCTGATATCTCTCTACCAATATCCCAACCCTTTGCCTTTTTGCCATTATAATCTATTAGAGGAGCTTAGAATATAGTGGATTTAAAAGTTATGAAATGTCCCTCTGATACAGAGGCGCTTGAGAGAAAATCCTAAATAATTTAAATAATAATTCCACAATGTAAGCTTCAAGGATTAGTATCAAGATGAATATTACCTATTATGAAAACTCCAGCAAATAGAAAAGTATTTATATATAACATAACAAGAGCTCATACATGTTCTAAATCCACAGAGATATGGCAAAAAAATCTTTGAAAAAGAGCCTCCTAAAAGACCTTCTTGAATATTTTATTTTATTAAGTCCAATTTTCTTCACTCAATACATGATTATATCCAATTATATCTTGCAATTGAAAACATGGTTCTTGACCCAGAACAAATACAAGGGCAGGTAAGTACCAATCAATTCAACTGAGTTGGCAAGTATTTATGAAATAACTACTGTGTACCTAGAGAATTCAGATAGAACCTAAGCAAAACAACAAAAATTACTTATAAAGATCGAGCTATACAATAGGTAAGATTATACTTCTGAACTATATAAATAAAAAGCCAATTATAACATCTACTTTGGAGAAGCACTATTATTATGAAAACAGCATATTATTTGCGGTCAGTCAGAAAATATATATTTGAATTCTGACTTTATAACTTTCTAGCTATGTGAATTCGAGCTGCTCTTAACTTCTCTGAGCTTTAATTTTTTAATTGGTAAGAACAATCAGTCAGTCAGATTCAGGTACAGTTTGAAGAGAGTAGAACCACCAAGATGTCTTAAAGGTTAAATATGGGGTATAAGAGGAAGAGAAGAATAAATGATGACTCCAAGGTTTTGGCCTGAGCAACCTTAAGAATGGAGTTGCCATCAATGAGCTAGGAAAGGCTGCAGGTGGTGTAGATTTGGGAAAAAGAGCAGAAGTTCAGTTTTCCAAATGTTAAATGTGAAGTGACTATTTGATATTTAATTCCGGATATCAAATAGGAAGTGTGATAAAGTAGTATGGAATTTAGGAGAGATGTTGGGGCTGTATAATTTGGGATTCATTTGCATAAAGATGATAGATAAAGCTATGAAATCAGATAAGACTAGATTACTAAGGGAGTGCCTGTAGGCAGTAAAGAAAATAGATCCAAAGTGGTGAGACTTAGACACTCTAGTGCTAAAAGGTTAGGCAGAAAGGAATCAGCAAAAGATACTGAGAAGAGCAATTCAATGTGGTATCATTATTTCATTAACTACATTGTGATACTATGAGCATATCATGTGGAATTTCTTGTGAGTTATATCTATTAAAAATTCATCCAGCAAAGGTTTATCCAGGTAAACTAAGTCTTAGATATTAAGAATACAGTAGTGTACTTTAAATATTCTGTCTCACTGGAATTTAGAGGTTAAAGCTATTCATTAAAACAGCACTAATTCACTGATAATATAACTCAGCACTGCAACAGTGACTCAGCTGAGAATGTTAAATGGTTAAAGCAGATCCGAAAGTTTATTGGAATGAGAATATCTCTTTGCTATAAGATAACTCTAGAGTTGAAAGAAAAATGAAGGTTAAAAAAATTCTAGTTGATTAGATAAATATTGCCAAATATAAAGTCCCTTGAACCTAAAATAAATGCTTCCTAATTTTATTAAAGAAAACACAGCAATACAAATTATTAGTTACCTCAAATTCTTTGTTCTATTCTTAAATTCTCAATGGAAATAAAAAAACATTCAGTCAATTAAATTGGATAAAAGAATATCATCCTTCTACAGTCACTCCAAGACTGTGAGGCCTGCATGAAACCTAATGTGCTGTTGCTTACATACATTTGCCTTGGAGTATACAAGTGATCTCAGCTTATTTCTCTCCTAGTGATTGTAACTTTGCACTCAACTTGCCATACTTTCCTGCTCCATCCACCACCAGCATTCCATACCTACTCTAACTCTGCCACTTCCCGACCAAACTTACACATTTTCAAGATTAGGCAATGAGTTTAGTAGGCAAGTTACTTTTTTAAAAATCTCCATAAGTATGGTGACTATTCAACCTATGTTAACCACATTTGGACTGAGTAGCTGCTTTTTATACTTTTTTCTCCTTAGGGATTTAGAATATAAACATAGATCCTCACTTAATACAGCAAAAAATCTTCAGAATTTTACTGTAACATTCATTTAAGATATTCGTTTTAGATATTCAAGATATTCATTTTTTATATTCAAGTCTAAACCTTTCTCCTTTATCTTCATAGAAGTCCAAGAGGGTGGAAATGGAAACAGCAGCACTTCCTCCTCCAAGAGGGTAGCTGTTCCATGACAGCATTGATAAACATTGACCTTCCTATATTAAGAGTTATAGTACCCCTGCGAGGGAGGTAGCCGCTCACAGATTGGATGCCCTCTTCAATGAACCTTACCAAGCCATCAGCAGAGATTTACGAAGGAGAGCCCTTCAGAACCCACAATCCAAGTCAGGTTCCTAGGAGTAATCCAGATCCAGAAGGGAAGACATGGTGGTCAAGAGTTTAGAGCAAATGGATAGATTACTAGAAATACACAACCTACAAGTCTGAGTAATGATGAAATAAAAAATCTGAACAGATCTATAACCAGTAAGGAGACTGAATCAGTAATCAAAAACCTCCTAACAGAGAAAAGCCCAGGACCAGACAGCCTCACTGGACAATTCTACCAAATATTTAAGAGAAGAATTAACACCAATATTCCTCAAACTCTTCCAAAAAATTGGGGAACACTTCCTAACTCATTTTATGAGGCCAGCATTACCCTGGTGCCAAAGCCAGACAAATATATTACAAGAAAACTACAGACCAATCATCCTGATGAATATTGTTGTGAAAATCTTCAACAAAATAGTAGCAAACCAAATTCAACAGCACATTAAAAGGACTATATACTACGACCAAGTGGGACTTATTCCTGGAATGCAAGAAGGGTTCAACTTACAAAAATCAATGTAGTAAACCACATCGACAGAATGAGGACAAAAACCACATGATCACTTCAATCAATGCAGAAAAAGCATTTGACAAAATTCAACACCCTTTCATGATAAAAACACTCAACAAATTAGGAATAGAACGAAACTATCTCAACATAATAATGGCCATATACGAAAAGCCTATAGCTAATATCATATTGAATGGTAAAAAGCTCAAAGCTTTTCCTCTAAGATCAGTACAAAGGCAAGGATGCCCACTGTCACTTCTATTCAACATAGGACTGAAAGTACTAGCCAGAGGAATTAGACAAGAAAAAGAAATAAAAGGCATCTAAAATGAAAGGAAGAAGTAAATTATTTCTGTTTGCAGATGACATGATCTTATATGTAGAATACCCTAAAGATTCCACATAAAAAAAATAAAATAAACTCTTAGACCTAATAAACATATTAAGCTAAGTTCCAGGATACAAAATCAACAGACAAAATTGGTTGGTTTCTATATATTAACAATAAACAATCTGGAAAGGAAGTTAAAAAAAAATCCCATTTACAATAGCTTCAGAAAGAATAAGGTACTTAGGAATTAACTTAACCAAGGAGGTGAAAGACTTGTAAACTAAAATCTACAACATTGCTGGAAGAAATTAAAGAAGACACAAACAGAGGAAATGATATCCACGTTCATGGATTGGAAGACTTAATATTGTTAAAATGCCCATACTATCTGATGCAATTCCTATTAAAATCCCTAAAAAATATCAATGGCACTTTTTACAGAAATAGAAAAAATAATCCTAAAATTAATATGGAATCTTAAGGACACCAAATAGCCAAAACAATTTTGAAAAGGAAGAACAAAGTTGGAGGTCTCACACCTCCTGATTTCAAAACATATTACAAAGCTTCAGTACAGTTATGTGCCGCATAATGACGTCTTGGTCAACGACGGACCGCATATACGATGGTGGTCCCATAAGATTAGTACAAATAGCCTAGGTGTTGTAGTAGGTCATACCATTTAGGTTTGTGTAAGTACATTCTACGATGTTTGCACAACAATGAAATTGCCTAAGGATGCATTTCTCAGCATATCTCCGTCATTAAGCAATGCATGACTGTAATCAAAACAGTGTG